GTTTCGTGTTTGTGCTCCAAGGAGATGGACACCTTAAAGACACAGCTGGAACGTAACTTCTGGCTTTCCCTTGGTATGTTGAAGACTATATTCATTATCACTTTAAAAGGTCCTTATGAATTTGTCCACCCTCTCTCTGTTCCCTATCAGTCACCAAATCGGGTAACTAAAACCTTAGAGCAGAATGGGGCAGGGCTAGAGAAAGGGGAAAAAGGCATGATGTCAGCAAGCCCTTTTCAATGGAGCCTTCCAGGCTATGTTTCTTTCGTGGAATACAAGTCTTCACCTGGCGCAAAAAAAAAAAAGTAGGACAAAGTGTGATGGATCCACACACACAGCTCCTTTGAGACATTCTAACCCCTTTGTAATGAAATGGTGAAGCTCAGATGGCTGCTTAATGTGAATCATATGAATGGTTGAGATCCTATGTAGTCTGATGTCAGGGACTTCCTAACTGATAGGTTCTGACCTACGTAGTCATCTGTTATGTTCTTCCAGCTGAGACCTCATAGTAGGTCCTTGCAAAGCTCTCACCTCACTCTGTTCACCATTCTTAACTCATTTGTGGGGCACATCCAGCCAATGGCTATGATGCCTACTCAGCTCCATCTGTGACTCTCCAATACCACAGGGAGAGCACAAGAGAAAGAGGTAACTGAAAACGAAATCACGGAGGCCAGGTTATCTGGTGCATCCTCTAGAAACGCTAAGGGGTAAGAGGGGAGGAGTACCAACCAAAGAATACAAGGGCCCTGGGGCATGGGATGCAAGCTTGTGATCCTAGCCCTTGGGCGGGGCCGGCAAAGGAGGACCATGAGCTCAAGGCCAGCCTGATCGACAGAGTGAGACTTGACTTCAAATGAAAAACAAACACAATACACTGGAGGGAACATAGGAGAGCCATTTTGAATGTTCAGCTCACGCGTCAACATTTACTAGAATTTTCTCTGACCAACTAGATGTATTAACTCTGCAACTCCCCAAAATAATGAGCTTTGTGACACTGAGCTTGTCTCTCTGTGCCTGGGATGACTGACTCATCATAACTAGAAGATTAGGTGAAGGAGTTTGTTTGTTTGTTTGTTTTATAAGGGAAAGGTGTAAATGCGAGAACCTACTCATCCTGTCAGATACAGGGGTGTCTTCTGAAACAGCCCAGCAGGCAGTTGCCCCACCTTGTCTTAATGAACAGAGTGTGAAGGAACTTGGAACCTCCTAGGAAAATTCATTCCAGGTTCAGATTGCTCTTGGCCAGGAGAGTTGCCAAAAGTCGACCTAAGATGTTATTAGACAATTGGCAGCTACCACTTCTTATTCATTCTTACATCTGAAATTGCTACAAAAATCCTCTCCTCCCAGTGCTACCGTACCCACAGAGCTGCTGTCACTTACCATAGCAACCCGAATTGCTTGTGAGGTGGCACCAGAAGCAGCTTCTACTCTTAATCCCGCCACTTTGTCTTTGCGATCATCTGAGACTTGATTTCTCCCATGTAGTAAGTGTCAAATGAAGGGCTTGGGAGTTATTAGATGTGTCTTCTAACAGGGATCATTTCTTCCTGAGAGACACTTTGTCCTTAACTTAGTAAAATGACCCCTTGTTTTCATTTACTTTCTAGAATGAAGTGTTAGAACTTGATGAATTAAAATCCATACTCTCCTCCTCTGCCCTGTTTTAAGTCTTCTAATTGCTGTGGATCTATTTATTTAAATTAGGATGCGTGAACTGAAGTCTTCATGAAATGTCAGACCATCTAAACAATGGGAAACCTGCGGTTCCTTTCCTCTAGAAAGAAGACAGGATGTCGGAGCTTAATAATGAAGAACCACATAAGGGCTGGAGATGGAGTTCAGTGGTGGTACACTGCCTAAAATGCATGATGCTCTGGGTTCCGTTCCCAGGAGGAGGGGCAGGAGGAGGTATCTAATGCAGCCTTGCGTAGGTAGAGAAGCCCACACTAGAAAGTGCCCTGGACTTGCCTTGTGACCTCTGTCTAAACCTTCCTAATGAGAAGGTGCTTAGTATAGAGACAGCCTCATCCTTACATGACAGGGTACATCGACCCTACAGTTGCAGCTACCACCAGCTAGCTCCTTCTCCACTCCTCCCCAAAGCTTCCCTCTGACTAGCCAAAGGGCTGACAGTCCTTTATTTGTGTTTTACACACCAGTAAGTATTTGGGCTCCTGCACACTATGGACATTTTAGCTTGTCAATATTCTCTTTGAAGTTCGATGGCAAAAACATTTAAAATAAACATAGCGTTTAAGTATTTCAATTAATTCATTATTTTGTAGATTGAGCCAAATTCAGGAAGACCCAGGGAGCTCCCCGCTTCAACTGAATGTGTTTACTGCATAGTTAGTTCTCTGGGCTCCAGGAAGCCCTGTTTAGTGTGCCTCTCCACATTGTTGCCTCTCAGAGACCCGATCCACTCTCTCATGTCATGCATGCAGATTAAGTATTTCTTAGAATGACAGTCAGCAACACTAAGCTGAGAAATAGTACTGAAAATCTCTCTCAGAAGCTCTGAAATTAAGTCCTTCAGGAGCAGTCTTGGGGACAAACATGGGTTGGGGGGATCCCATTTGGGGATTAGATGAGAAATTATTTGCCTTCCTCGGCTACTCAAAGATGTTTCTGTCTCTTCAAAATTGGATCTATATGTCTTTCTATAATATAACGAACATAGTTTTGTGGGATCTTTACTAACAAGAGGGACTGAGTTGAGACAAAAACCTGAGCCATTCAGACAAAATACTTTGTCAGCCCATTGAGGCTTTGATCAGTTTCGAAGGTCAAAAGCAAAAATTGCTGCCATTCAATTGAGACTAAATTGTGTCTGTCTTTTAATATCACTGATCTGAAGAAAAGAAGGACTGGGGGAAGGGGGAGAGGAGAGGAGAGGAGAGGAGAGGAGAAAAGCTGTGAGGACTTTGCTATCACTTTATTTACCACAATTCTAGGGCTGGGGTGGGGTCGGTGAGAAAACTGTACCTTGCTCTGGTTGCATTCAGAGCTCTTCCCCTCCCAGCATTCCAGTAGTAAAAATCAGGGTGACTGGAAGTGGCATCTCCCTAAACAGGCAATGCTCCTGAATCAGACTCCAGTTCCTGGGGCTCCAGACTCACTGTGCCCCAATCTGGAAGAGCTATTTTTAAGCTGGAAGCTTTTCTGTTTACCTGCTTCTTCAAGACAGAAGCTCAAGAAGTGCCCTCACTCTGATCCCCATGGAATAAGTCCTGGCATTTTCTGAAGGCAGAAAAGATAAATGCCTAGTGCTTTTGAGTTTGTGTTCACCGTCTAATTTAATATCTCTCTCTCTCTCTCTCTCTCTCTCTCTCTCTCTCTCTCTCTCTCTCTCTCTCTCTCTCTAAGCAGCTGTTGTCCACAGGACTAGAAAAACTTGAGTTTTTTTCCCCTTGGCTTTGGCTCCATGCTCTTATGTGAGATATCTTTCTTTTATTAT